GACTTACCGCTGCGTTCGTGTACTCTGAGGATGTCAGCACATTCGCGTTCGTGAACAATATCCTGCATACTGCTCAGGTGCCGCGGAACGAGGTCGCGCGGCTGTTCCGGCATGGCGATGACCTTACCCTCAAGCTGTGCACGGCAGCACCGATTGGAGATGTCTACAAGGAGTGCATCACTATCTGGGATACCAGCATGACGTTGAACGCGATGGGAACGCTCACGTCCAGATTTGTTGAGACGGTACGCTCGGCCATGTGTTCGTAGCAACTGCGATGGCCCTAAACTTCCCCAGTCAGACCACATACGCAGGTCCTTAGACGACGGCTCCCTCCGCCCGGTTCACGACCCTTCTAGTGGGAACGTGACTGGTGCCGAGCTGACCTACAATGGTGACAGCACCATAGTGCTCAGCGAGCAGTGCGCCCGCATGCTTGAATATCCCGGACGAATGTGAGCGAGATCCTTGGCCGATAGTGGAGAGGTCGACTGATGTGACGAAAAGTTTGGACAACTCTCAGAGAGAGGATCTTGCCTTGGTCGGTTCCCAGTTCTGGCTGCTTGGAGTGTCCACTTTCGGAGTATGTGCCTTAGTTCCGGTACGCAGTGCATACTGACCACATTCCCTTCGTAGATTCTCTACAACTCCATACCACACATGTATGTTTGGCAGAGGCACCTCTTCAGCGTGCATCCATCTAACGAATCTCGTATCCATGACAGTTGGGCCGTAGTCTTCGCTCGCGTGCTACAAACAGCATGGGCTAGCTACACCATCTGGCGCACGGAAGACTTCAAGTTCAGATACAGGTCGCTCATCGTGGGCAACGGTACACCATGTCATTTTGACGTGATGCCGTCGTACTTCAGCACCCGCTTGGCGCTTCAGGTCCGTTCAAGTCCTGCGGCGACGACCGCTCGGATACTCTTCTGACTGTACGCTCTAGATCCCGGAGCTTGTACTCAGCGTCACCGCCTTGCTATCGACCGGGTTCCTCGCTTGGTTCATCGTGAAGGTGCGCCGCCAAGACATATTTAGCGCTGAACCTTGCGCGTCCTCATCGTAGAGTAGGGCTACAGCGCGGCTACCATCCGTCGAGTGATGCCCCCTCCGCGGGTGATGCGTCAGTACAAGGTGAGCAGCAGTGATGCAACAACGGACCGCAAGCGCTAACCGGAGATCGCAGTTCTTCCTGATCGACTCGATGTTCCTCCAGCTATCGCTATTCTTTACTGTCACTGCCATCAGCCTCTGGATGGATCAGCTGCGAAACAGCGAGATCGCTTTGTTGGCGCAGCGTTCGCCGCTCTACTATGCTCTTTTCATTTTCACGGTGGTGGTGCGTTCCAATCTCTACTGCGGTGCCACTGGAGATCACATAGCTGATGTCGTGAACGACAGACCATCATCCCGTGGATCGTCATGGTAAGGGTTGATGCAATTTCGATTGCATGAAGGATATGCTGACGCGACATGCCCAGGGCTGGCTCTCCGTCCGCCGTGAGATGACGGTGCTCATGGCCGGGTTCCTCTTCCTGAATCTCTGCTACATCGTCGGCTGGAGCGTCATGTTCAAGTCGCAGGTCTACCTTTGGACCTTCATCGAATGGCCGTTCTTCGGTTGTGCGACAATCGTGTCCTTCATGGTCCTCGTCGGCGCGATGGTCTTCGGCATTATATGCTGGACGGGCTTCGGAAAGGGCCTCGCTCATTACCGTACGTCATGGTCGTACCTCCTCATCATCGCTAGAAGGCTTATCTCGTACGGATTCTGTAGTGCATGTCGAAGCGGTGCTGACTGAGTCTGACTTCAACCCGGACGTCTTCACGAACGACACGGAGAAGGCTACAAACAAGGCCTCGAGCCCAGTCGTCCGATGCCCCAGCGCACTCTCAGATCCCTCCTCGGAAGGTGTCTCCGCGATCAAGAAGGACGGCAACTGGGACTTTGCAGACGTAGATCGGCCCGCCATCTACACGGTCGACTTCTACGAGCCTAAGGACTCGTCCAGTTCGCTGCCCTGATCTGGCGCTCTGCGTACGACGCATTGTGTCGCGTGACCTGGGGATATGTGTGATTTCTGAGGGACGGACTTCGTGTTCGGAGACGACGGACAGCTGCTTTGTAGCGTTCATGCCCCATCATAAGCGATTTTATCAGCTATTCGGACATATCCACGTCATACTATACTTGGTACGGCCGAGCGTTTTGCACCTCTTCGACGTGGGCTATACCAGCACACGCGCCACCCTGGATGCACTTCGCAATGTCAGTGGCGACATCTACTCCCTCGAAGTACGCTCCATGCAGGAACCCTGCACATACAGGTCAAGTCAGTCACCATCCTATGTCCTATAGCCGGGACATCGCTCACCGAAGTACTTCTGACTCGTCGCCTCGCCGGCGAACCAAAGCCGCTCGCCGACGTTCGCCCGCAGGTTCTCGTGGTGTTCGCTGAAGAACTACGCGGGCCAGTTCGAGTACGAGCCGCGGAAGAGCGGGTCCGTGTGCCAGCGCGGGAAGAAGAACGCGAGCGGGTCCGGGACGGTCACGTTCGGGAACATGGCGCGCAGGACGCCCATGACCTCTTCTTGTACTTGCGCGTCGGGGAGGGCCTCGATGCGTTGCGAGTAATCGCCCTGTGTCGGGCAGTCAAGCGCGTAAGCGAGGAAACATATGAAGTGGGTGCACTGGGCCTACGGTCACTGTGACGAAGATGATACCGGAGCCCGGGAAGAAATTCTCGTGGTCCAGGCTCTGCCACACCGGGTACCTGCCGCGCTCCGAGTCTGCGTATAACGCCATCTTGAGGCCTTATGTGAGCGGGCGGTAACGAGGAAGGACCCAAAGCACCTGCCTCGGTGTCGAACCAGAACCTCTCCGGAAACTGCAGGAAGATTTTGGTGTATGTGGCCTGCACAACGTTGATCAGAACCAAGCTGCTGGGGCGCAGGTACCTGAGCGAACTCACCATGACCATGCTCTGGATAGCTTCCTGCTTCCAATCAGGCAGAGCAGGCTCGAAGACGACGTCGTCGTTTTGTAGCACACCCAAGCTGAATGTGCACAGCGCATAGTCCGCGTGCAACGTCTCCCCGCCGACGAGTTCCACGCTAACGCCCGACTGCGAATGGGTGATCTTCTTGACAGTCGAGTTCAGGCGAACCTGCTGCGGTTGCAAGAACTCGGCCGCTTCGGCTTGGATGAAGTATTTGAACCCGCGCTGATCCAACGCCATCTGATTATCGTCGCCGAAGCCGCCCTCGTCCGTATTGTAGGTGAAGTTGTTGCCCTAGAGTTTCGCCGTCAGTGAATACCTCCAGTGCATCTGGAAGACGTGCGAGGAACGTCGCGCACCCAGGAGCTGGCAATCCATGACGACTCCTCTGGCGTCTGAGCGTACTCCCAGTCAAACTGATAGTACTCGCTCGCCATGGCTTGCGCCGTTCTGGACTTCGCGCCGATCAGGGAGTATCCAGTGCGTGCGGTAGCGTCGACGAGGCGCTTCTCGACGCGCGCCCCGGCTGCTATGGTGAGGTTCGTGTATGCGTCGCCGGAGTCATCGAAGACATCCACATGATTTACCGGACCGGTGGCGTCGTACGTCGCTGCGTAGGACGATCGTGAGGCTGGTACATGGAAGGTTAGGATGGGCTTACTGATGCTCCCAAACCAGTCGTTGAAGTGGGTGTGAAGGCCGTGCTTCTGAGCCAAGGTCCAAATCGGGTTGGCAGGACCATCTCCGGCCTGCGTACCTTGTACCCAGTTGGCACCTGCGATACAACAGTGAGTTGGACTGCGAACCGCTGAGTCTGACGCCGCTGGGACCGCGGCCAGCGGACGTACCCAATTCAAGCGTCACCTGCTTCCCTGGTGCGCCGAAAGCTTGAGAAGTAAGGCGGCCGCCAAGCTCCCCTACTCGACGTGCTGCATGAGGCAACCGGTCTTTCTAATGCGAAAGGGTAGTCACCTCGGGCTTCCACGATAGTGAAGTTGGTAATCCCGCGTTCGTGTATGGTGCGAGCAGCAATGACCCCAGAGACGCCGCCGCCTAAGATAAGAACAGAAGCACCCTTCTTGTGTACTCTGCTATCCAAAGAGAGACCGAACGAGCCAGGGAGATAGCACGACAGCAGGCTCATGCCGAACAACCATAGTCGCAGGCAGAACATGGTCGCAGAGAGAGTTCAGCAGCGCAGTCTGCTTCAAGCAGAGGATTTCGTGAGACTGCTGCAGAGCATACGAAATCAAGGAAGTCGGCAGGAACTCCGAAGCAAGCCACCAGGTCTCCAGAAAGATAAGACACCGTGTTGGACGGCTTCGAATTATATATGGTCGTAAGCGGCGGGGCCTGTGGGAGTACATGCCATGTACCCGCCGTGGCATCAGACATATCCGTCGGCATTATCTTGAAGTTGCGTTCAGCTTCCAAACCCGAGCCGATCGCGGCCGGCGCGTCAGCCAGTATATCCCCGGTCGTACACCGGAACTTGAAGCTTGAAGGTCAGGGAGGACGTCAAATGGGGCTGTTGGTATTTGTGAGGTCTCAGGTGAAGACAGAATGAAGGAAGGACCTCACTATGCATGTCCATCCAGCGGTCAATAGGCCTCGGATCGCGCCAGCTTTAAAGGGGCTGCCAGATGGACACGTGTCCATGCTGAGATCGAACGTAAGCCGTCGCGCTGGTTCCAACCTCGCACTCACGATGGCACAAGTCCGGTGACTGTCCTGCGATAGCGATACTACAGTACTAGCCCTGCGATACAGCCATGCGCTGTCTTCGTGCCATAATTTTCTCATGCATCAGCCGTACCGCTGCAACGGGTCGACATACGTACCTTCGATACATCCATCAAGACGGCCGGGCTGCTTTGCGCCATCGACGTCGCGACCGGCGGGACGTCTGTGGTACGCGGATTGCGGGTGCAGCAGGGGCTACTGCAATCGCATTAACTTTAAGACGATTCGGACATGATGAGAGGGAAAAAGTGAACTCTCTCTGTCGGGGAGTCGAACCCCGCTTTCGCGCGGTCATCTACAGTGACAGGCGCGTGTACTAACCGATATACTAACAGAGATTGGTGTTTTGTATCTCAGATGTTAACACAGCATACCGCTTGTGTAAACAGTACGGGACTTGCAGTTTCGTCTGTGGCACCAGCTGCATGATGTGAGTATATGCAGATGCCGGTAGCTAACTTTTGGTTATGCACCACCCGTAAGTATGTATCAATCCCACAGGTAGTATGCCACATAATACCTGAGTTCCACGATTGGCACGATCTGACTATCGATTGCCCTGCCAGATCGAGTGAGAGTCGCTGCTATTAGTCGTCGATGCTGTGAGAGCCTCGCCGTGTCGTTCACCCGACTTCGCTACATCCTTCTCCGTGACTGCGATCGTCCTTACCACACCAGGCACCGCTACGGCCCGGTCGCAGAATCAGAATGGACATCACCAAGGACATCTGGGAGCTCTCCCGGGTGATCTTCTCATACCCCGCAATCGACAACCACGCGCATGCCTTCCTGCGCGAGGAGCACAAAGACGAATACCCCTTCGAGGGCCTGATCAGCGAGGCCAACGGACAGAAAGCGTCGCATGATGCGACGTACACCATGGCGTGCTACCGTGCCACCTCCCAACTCGCGAAGCTCTTCGGACTGGCCCCAGACGCGGACTGGGAGGCCATCAAGCAGCATCGGAGAACGCTTCCGTATGACGCCCTCTGTAGGATGTGCATGGAGCCGACCCATATCCAGTGTATCCTGATCGACGACGGGCTCGGCACCGCGGCGAAGATGTACGCCTATAACTGGCACGATCAGTTCACAGCCGCGCCCACGAAGCGTATCGTCAGGGTCGAGGCGCTTGCAGAGGTATACTACATCGACAGCTGGAGGCGGACGTCGACTGACCGTCGCGACCTGCACAGGACATCCTGAAGCATGCCATAGAGTTGCAGATTGAGGAGGAGCGGCTCTCGCCGTCGAACCTCCTCGACGTCTTCCTCGCAAACTTGGAGATCGCACTCGTAGCGGCTGCCCAGGATGATGCGGTAGCTGGCTTCAAATCCATCGCATGCTACCGAACTGGCCTGGACGTCGCCATCATATCTTCTCTAGAGAACAACGTCGCGGTGGAACAACTTCTCACGAAGTTGACCCTGATCTACATGAGCAGTCGGACCTTGAGGCTCCAGTACAAGGAGCTAAACGACTATATCGTGAACGCAACGATGCGGATCGCCGGCATATCCGGAAAACCCGGTATGGCGTTCAGAGATCACACTTCAGGTCGATTAGCCCTGCTCACTCCAGTCTGTTAGTACAATTCCACACAGGACTGGGCGATAACGACATCACCTTGACGCTATCCTCCCCCGCGCACCTGCAGCCCCTCATCAAGGCGTTTCCGAACACCAAGATTGTCCTGCTCCACTCGAGCTACCCGTTCACCCAAGAGGCAGGCTACCTCACGGCGGTCTACGAGAACGTGTACCTCGACTTTGGCGAGATCTTCCCGTTCCTCAGTCCGGACGGACAACGACAAGTCCTTAGGCAGGTCCTGGAGCTGGCACCGACCAACAAAATTTTGTGGTCCAGTGAGTGATGCCTGAGCGCCGAAGCCTACAGGTACGGCCGCTCATGTGAGGTTATAGCGGACGGTCACTACTGGCCCGAGTCATACTACCTGGGCACCATGCAAGCACGGCAAGCACTCTTTGAGGTGAGGCTGCGTCGCGAGCCGGGGAATGGGGAAGTACTCACTGTGTTCGCCTCAATTCTCGCGTACTACCTTGCTAGGTCTTGGAGGCGTCCATCCGGAAATGGGAGCTAAACCTACCTCAAGCACTCGGCATCGTCAAAAGAGCGTTCTTCGAGAACGCGAACAGAGTATACAACCTCGGACTCGTCCCCCAATTCGCGTGAAGCGCCATGCGTGCATACCCGCTTAAGTCTATGAAACTCCTGTACAGTGTATGGTTATATGTGCTGGGACTCGGGACACTTGATACATTATTCTTCATCCTCTGCTTCGTCTTCCTCTTCGACGATGTCGAGACCCTGCTCCCGAGCAAGCTGCAGCGCGTACGCCTCTTTGTCTCGCGCGAACGCGACGAGCGATTGCAGAATAGCTCTCTGCCCTGTTCGCCCCGTTGCAAGTCAGCTTCATACCGCACAGGAGATCTAACCGAACCCTCTGTGCGTACCTTCAAGGTAATGGTCGAGCATCTCCACCACCTCAGGCCTCATCTCCGCGGCATTAGCAGGCGGGAACGGCGGCAGCCGATCGTACAGGTTCTGCGCCATCTCCGCGAGCATGTCCGCAGCGCACAGCTGGTCCTCGATCGACGGCCTGCCGACTCCGTCCCCGTCCTCTTCGTCGTCACCGCTCTGCTCGCCAATGGCGAAGAGGACAGCGTCCCACACCGGGTCCGCCCCGCGAGCGTTGCGTCCGACCTCCCACCTGCCTGCCGACGACGTGTCGCTGCTGCTCTGAGAGCCGGATGGCGCGGCAGAGGGTCCGCCGATCTTCAGGACGATCGTGTCGTCCGGATTGTTCGGAAGGGAGAAGCCGTACCCGAGAATCAATTCGGAGTTCGGCTTGGGTCCGTAGTTGTTGAACAGCTCGCCTCCACGAGGGGTCGCTGCATGGATGACGAGGGATATGGACGGCTCCGAGGGGCTGGAGGTAGTCGAGGCGCTCTTGCCGCTGGACACCACCCACGACACAGGGTGCGCACGAGCGTGGTTAAGCGCGTCAATACCTGGGAGGAGCACGGGGTACGAGGAGGGTGTGGTCACGAGAGACGGGGAATCGGACAGGACGGTGGAAGGGAATGCGCGCGAGGAGAGGTACGTTGAGGCGGTAAGATATCTGTCCCTGCGCAAGAGTCGTGAGCTTTGTCGTTCCGCGCTCAGTAGATGCGACAGTCCTACCAGGTAAACTGTTCTCCCCAGGCAGAGTTGAGTGAGCTAACTGCAGCTCTGCACTGCTCCCACTCTGCCTCCCACTCGCGCCGTCTGTCCAGGGTGGCACCATAGAGGTTCGAGCCTCTGAACGCCTCCAGCTCGACAGGACTGAAATGCAGCGGTGTGCGCAATTTCTCTGGAGACGGAAGGGAGTCGATGTATGGTCCGTGCCCCAATTCAGATCCCTTAGGGCTATGCGAGACGCCTTTGAATGACAGGGCCGCTGAACGAATCCGAGAAGACGTACCTGGACGGCTCAACGATCCAATGCATGCAAACGTAGGTGCAAACGAGCTGCCGCTCGATGAGACCATCTAGCTGAGCTGCGCCCGCGTTCCCGCTGGCTGAGGAGATCTGCTGGAGTGCTGTCTTCGCCACCTCCGGGGTGACAGAAAGTGAATACGGGATGGACACGACCGCGGTATCTGCCGGCACATCGTTGCGAGCTATAGCATTGAATCCGGAGGCGACTATTCACGAGATTGAGCTTTATTTGAGTTCGTCACATATGCCGCGTTGACCGAGTGAAGTACCGGTGCTTACCAGGCTCGAAGTGAACGTCCGGGTGGATTGTAGCTCCGTTCTTGACCAGCCAGGACTTGAAGGCAGCGATGTTTTGAGGCTCGTTCATGCTCAAGACAGCCATCTTTCAGAGACGTCCTCAGTATTACCTCAAAAGCTATGTTCTCGGGCCCTAGGTGGTATAGTAAAGTTATGGTGTAGCAGGCAAGAATCGAGTAAGGGAACAGTATCGACGAGCTTCAGTGGCAAGAGGAAGGCTGGGCGGTGACCTCCACAGTTTCGATCGCTCGGTGTCTGTAGGCTGAACTAATCTTATCTGATTTCGAGGAAGACATCTCAGCAGGAGGCGTATCTTATCAGATTGTGCTTTCTGACCACTCTCCTCCAAGTCATTGCGCACCGCGCACTCGATCCCAAGCCCGTCAACGCCGTGCCCCCTGCCGCCATGCCAATTTCCGCCGCAGACCTCGAGAAGGCCATCCGCGCGGCCATGCCGGTCACCTACCTCGAGATCGAGGACACCTCGAACGGGTGCGGGGAGAACTACGCCGTCTTCGTCGTGAGCGAGGTATGTACCGTACCAATGACTGGGCTAGCCGAGCTCTTCGTGACGCGTGGTCTAGACCGAGATTAGGAGTGAGACTGACACGGTGCGTGATTGTTTCTGCGTGTAGGCGTTCGAGGGGAAGAATACCCTCGCGAGGCACCGCTTCAGTAAGTACTCGCATCATCTACGTACCTCTGTCTGGGGTGCAGGGAGCTGACTGCCGCCGAAGTAAACGAGGTGCTAAAGAACGAGATCGCGCAGATGCACGCGTTTTCGCAGGTGGGACACCCTGGGCAACTCTCGTCGAAGGGGAGAACAGACTTTGCTGACCGAGACAATCGCAGAAAACGCTCACCCCAGCACAGTATGAGGCGCACCTCGCGAAACAAGCGGCATCTTGATCCAGCACGGAGAGAACGATGAGTGCAGTAGGCGGGTACACCAGATGTGGGGGGCGACCTGGATATATAGACTCGAGGCTGGCGTTGTGGAAGACCGTGGCTATCTCGAGGTTGTATCATCAGTGTAACAGTGCCAGTGTAGCCCCATCCAGCGCCGCGGTGGTTCGATTCACTTTTAAGCTGAGACTCCGAACCGCCTTCAGTACAGCCAAGCGAGGTGTAATCGAGGTTCATAGACGTCCGAGAGCAGGGAGAGTTGCGGCAAGCTCGCAAGTTCGCGATGGCGGCGAACCGCGACAAGCGCTTAGCTGATCAGATCTTATCTTATCGTGGACACGTCCGTGTACCGCCTCTGCTTGTAGTCTGCTTGCTGCTCGATCGAGATGCCTTCGTATACAACGGCACGCATGGGCGACAGATGTCAGAGTCTACCCAATGAATTGACTATAGTAATACAGGTGGCGGATACTTCTCTTCTATACGTCATGTCCTACACTTGCCGAACGTTCACAAACCAACATCACCGAGAGTTCGGTTGCCACCGTCCTGCGCGTTCTTGTCGGCGAGGCTCTGAGCGGTGGGCGCGATGGTGCCACTCTCAGGGAGATGGCCCCGTGCCTTGTGCTCCTGC